GGCCAGATTCCCCGTTGGTGTCTATCACCTGAGAATCTGGTCCAGAAACTCCTGCAAATCATGAAGCACCCTACAAAAAAAAAAAAAACATGGCCAGGCAAGCGTCTGTTCTACCTGGCACATCAGCTAAATTGGCAACGTTTACTGCTGATTTCTTAGCGATGCTGACAACATGAGCGGCACCAAGAGCATGACGAGATCTTCAGATCTCAGGGACCCTGGTGCTGACAGTTACAAAAACGACTGGCCTGGTTCCTCAGCGACAGTTATCGGCCTCGACTTCAATTGGAGCGATGCTGCTTTACGCCAGCTGAGGAGGTGGCCCGGGCTCTTTGGACGTGAAACTGAGCTGTTCTGCCATGCAGCCAGGCGAGAGATGATACATGCGGAATGCAGCACAGTGGCTTGTTGACAGAGCATCTGTTCTGATGATAAATGCACTTAAAGCACCCAGGTTAAAAGAGAGAGAAGCGGAAACAGTTGGAAAAAATCCCTAGGCTTTTTTTATTGTGGTGTTTTTTGGGGGAAGTCTTTTTGCTGGGATGTTTAAAACTCCCCGTTAGGATTAAAACGTAGTGCCTGCGGTCTCCCCCTGTCCTATGCTCTAGTGACACCCCTCACACAGCGTTTCTGATGCATGCAACATTTCTATTACAAACCCCTTATTTTCAGGACTCTGCAGCTCAGACCAAACCGTCTCTCTCCAAGTGACTGCCCCGCAAAGTTCAGAAACTCTTTGTCTCCACCACACAGACTGCAGGCACAAACGCACTAGCCGGTATGAACCCAGCACTAACGGCCAGCTCCTGTTCTTATTCACACTGGCGTAATCAGGAATAACTCCACTGAAATCAGGGCAATTTCTCCAGGTTTATGCTGAGAGCAGAATTCCACCCTAAAAGCCTTATTTTGCACAGACAGCAAGAGATTAGAATCCAGACCTCTTACGGTCCCGCCAATCTCATTGAAGTCAACAGGCCTGAGTCTGATATCACCTGCATCAGGGGCGGCTCTAGGCACCAGTGTAGCAAGCGCGGGCCTGGGGCGGCAAGCCGCGGCGGGGCGGCCTGCCAGTCGCTGTGAGGGCGGCAGGCAGGTGGCTTTCGGCTGCATGCCTGCAGGAGATCCATCGGTCCCCGCGGCTTCGGTGACAATTCGGCGGTGGGGACACCGATGGCGCGGCACCGGCGGACCACCCGCAGGCATGCCGCCGAATCCTCTTGGCCAGCAGACCTCCCGCAGGCGTGCCGCCAAAAGCCACCTGCCTGCTGTGCTTGGGGCAGCAAAAAACAGAGCCGCCCTGACCTGCATCAGTTTTATACCGCTGCAACTCCATTGCGGGGTTCCTCCTGATAGACACCGATGTCAATAAGTGGAGAATCAGGCTCAATGGAGTTGCAACAGTATAACAAGAGAGGCGTATTTAACCCTGAGAGCCCTGTCTCTTACCTTACACTGCACACTAGATTTCATGCCATTGCCTTGCAATTGAGGCTGAAAAATCCTATCCGTATGAAACGTTCAAGCGAATGGAAAAGTGGTTCAGGCAGACAAGATGTTGCCCATCACATGTAGCTGCTGAAGAACGTACTGCATAGCACTTTACACCCCTAATTTCGATCTCCCCTGCATTCACTCTTTAATGGTCTAACTCAGGGGCTCTCAAACTTCATTCCACTGTGACCCCTTTCTGATAACAACAATTACTACACGACCCCAGGAGGGGGGACTGAAGCCTGAGCCCACCCGAGCCCTGCCACCCCGGGTGGGGGGGACACCAAAGTAGGGTGACCAGACAACAAATTTGAAAAATCGGGACAGGGGGTGGGGGTAATAGGAGCCTATATAAGAAAAAGACCCACAAATCGGGACTGTCCCTATAAAATCAGGACATCTGGTCACCCTACACCAAAGCCAAAGCCCAACGGCTTCCGTGGGGCTCTGGCTTCGGCCCTAGGTCCCAGGAAGTCTAACACCAGCCCCGATGACCCCATTAAAATGGGATCACAGTCCACTTTGGGGTCCCAGCCCACAGTTTGAGAACCACTGGTCTAACTCAAAGTTGCAGGGGATGGGTTAGTGATCTAAGCATCTGGTTTAAAATAGCTGGGGCCATGCACTTCGGTGGGATAAATCCCGGTGAAGTCAAAGTGATCAGAACCTAGTCCCTGGATTCCCCAGATCCACGGCTTCAAATCCCGGGGGTTCTATGTGGCCCCTTGTCCTTTGGAAATTGATAAACCAAGTTCGCTGGCTGGAAGTTTGTTAACCAAGGTCCTGTCTACTGGGCATGGACATTAAAGGTCACATGCCACTTTTAGCAAAGATCTGCCCCAGAGTCTGTGGCCAAAATATCTCTTGCCCCGAATCCATTGCTGTTATGCCGTGTGATCACTGCCAGACACCCCAGAGGTGATTGCGTTTCAGTGATTCCTGTCTGAGAATAGTCTATTAAACATATTGGGAGCCTTTAGCGTCTATCTAGCTACATATATGGCCCGTATCACTGTAGTATTGGAGCAATGAAAGACGCTCTATCAATGCAAGCTCTTAATACCGCACAGCATTGTTCATGTTCATTTTCAGAGTAGGTTAAAACTCAGGCCCCCGACACAGATAAAGTTCTGCTCTGTATTACAGGTTGCAGGTCAGCAACATGACATGCTTTCAACACTCAGGATCACAACCCCTGTGTTCCATCTAAGTAGGAGGTGAGAGGAATAAAGAATTTCTTCCCAGTCCATGGATTTTAAGGGCGGTTTTGCAGTCCCTCAGACAACTTTCTTCGCTGCAGTGTTTTAAGAGCGACCGAGGTGTTTTGAACCTGTAGCTCTGCGTGCGCCTGATTGAAATGAATGGAATTACACCAGAGTGACACAGCAAATGAATCTGGCCCTCTGCATGCAACGAGAGTGAACGGTGACAATGCTAAGAGCCAGAGAGTGTGCAGCTCCCCCGGAAAGTCTCTTGCACTTATGCAAGTGTCTCCGTTCACTTCAGTGGACTTATTCCTGATTTACATCAACCCACGAGCAGAATCAAGCTTTGAGTCCCGGCACAATCAACAACAGTCCCATGCCAGGATCTCAGTCTCTGGTCAACGCTGCAGAGTTAATCCCAGAGTTTATGATCTGAAGTTGTCTGTTTGCTGAGATTTCTCTCTAGCTCTGGTGTCTGTCAATGAATAATTCACGGGTAAAATAGCCATTAAAAATCCACAAGAACGGAGACAGCCTATTTGCTCGTTAACCCAGCGATCACAAGGGTAGCAGAATCAGAGTGTATCTATGCGGTGGGGAGCGGGGAAGACTTGAGATGGACAGCACAGCATATCCTCCTGCCCATGCTCGCTCGCTGTTTGTGGCAACACAGATTTAGCAGATTCAAGTGACCGAACTTCATCAACACCAGCCGGGGGCCCCGATTGAAGTCAATGGGAGTTTTGCTGTTGACTTCAATTGCAGCAGGTCTGAGAAATGTGATGTTAGCAGGTGGCAGATATTTTACTATAGTAGGATAACCCCAAGTGGGCTGGAAGTCACTGACAATGTTGGGTTTTGGTCAGACCCAGGCAGGGTCGCTGGAACAATTTTTATAGTGGGGGTGCCTCTGTAAAGCCTGTATATAATGAAAACCACTTCAAGTCAGGGGGTGCGGTAGCACCCCTAGTTCCAGCACCTATGAACCCGGGGAGAAGAAACATGATCAGACATCAACTGTTTCAACCCCACGCATTCTATAGCCCCCGAACGGCACATCTCTGCAGTGTACACTGATTAGTCTTTCAAATGCGACTAAGTTCCTATTCCCCCCAGAGACAGAGAGGGGTGAGTCTAGAGATAATCGGAACGTATGTGGTGCTAGTTGTTTTTTCTTGTTTCACTAAGAGCCATTGCACGGGCAACACGACAACAAAACCACAACACAACACAACACCAAAATATAACACTAGAACCTTCTGCCACATCCCCGAGCAATGGGCCCAAGTCCTTAACACGGGCAAAACTCCCAAATGAATTTCAACGGGAACTTTGTTTGAGTGAGGGCCGGGGGACTGAATCCCGTTCTAAGCACTTTTCATTTTCTACGTCTAAAAGCGGACATGATCATAGGCAGTGACCCCAGACCTCCTGACCCATTTGCCCAGCATCAAACGTGCTCAGTAATAACAATGCCAGAGCGAGGAAGAAATATATAATAGTCTTGTAACCTAATGGCCGACGGAGCACACAGTGTGGTTATTGATGTACAAAAACTGATGCCTTATGACATTTCGCTTCATCCATAAAGATGAGCAGAGCAAGTCGTCTTTGGTCGTACCACCTTGAGCTCTAGACCTCTTTTTGTTCCACTCAGGAAGATAGTTGTCTTAATAGAGATTAGCTCCTCGTATAATAGCAGTCTCACCCTATAAAATCACTCTATATGATATGTGTACACACACACAGATGGAACACACTCTGAGATGATAGAGGGTTAATACTACTTTCATTCCCCTGAGTATAAACCATATGCCATCCATGCGCTGACGTTTTGGACTGCAAAACAGATCCAGTATGCTGCTGTACAGAGTCACTCCCAGAGCTGAAAGCAATTGTTTGCTGAAATTAAGCTTTAACATGATTAAATTAAGACTAACATTGTCATCCGGAACAGTGGACAAACATTTTGTCCCCATTAATAGGATGCTTTTCGGTAGGGGGTGGAGTGGGGCTGATCCTAGAATTATTTGCAGTAGCTGGCTCAAATCAGTGTAAAAGTAATTTGGAAATGGGTAATGAAAATTCTTCCGAAAGTACAGTCATTTTCATTTCATCTGGCGTAGCCGCTTTCAGACGAACAGCAGCAAGGACTCAGCGCAAAGATCTGCCAGCAAAATCAAACATGCATCTAAAAAGCCAGCGCTTTGCTGTTTCTAAATCCTGGTACAGTAAATTACTCATCAAGGAAACAGCCTCAGCTAAAGGAAACAATTGCTCGAGAAAGATTTAGCAACTTACCAGAGCATAGACAGAACTCAACACCGAGCAGCAGAGGATCAAACCCAGGCTGTGATAAACCAAATATGATCCCATATCCAAGAGACTTATTGCAGCATCCACGATCTCTAAGGGAAGTAGAAGGACGAAGGATCTTCCAGGGATCCAGTCGTAGATGATTTTTTTTTCTTTTATTTTTCTTCCTTCCCAGCTTGTTTTTATTATTATTTGCTTGTTTGTTTCCACAGTTTTAGCCAGAGAGGCACATGACGAGAAACCCCAGTTCTTTGCTTCGCTTTCTCATGGCTGGAAATCGATGCAGTTTCAGAAATGTAGGGAAAGAGTCCATGTGAAGGGAGCACCAACACCCAGTTCAGTCAGAGCAGCAGTTCCTGGTGCTGTTTGTTTGGTGTGTGCATCTGTCTCAGAGCAGAAAAATCACATCCATATGTCAAAACTGCTATTCTGCTTCCCTTTTATGAGGCAGAGGGAAGTTCAAATAATTTCTTTGTCAAACGCAAACACACAGTAAGCAAGAGAGGTGTGGGAAGGGGGGGGGGGAGTCTTTAACCACTGCTTTATTTTTAGAGCTAGTAATTTTATCTTTGAGGTTGGGGGTGGGGGAAGTTTGGAAAAAAAGGGTTTTTTTTAAGCAAGCAAACAAATCAGAAAGTTACAAATTAAAAAAAAAGTTGGAAATATTTTCACTTCGCCATTCCGTTTATGCAAACAGGGGTGCTGCTGGGTATTTTTGCTTGTATATTTCAGCGCAGCTGAGCTCCACAAGAGGTTGATTCTGTCAACCTTCCCTGGATGCAATGTGTTTTAGTTACAAATACGGATTTTTTTCTTCTTCTCTCTCTCTCTCCCTCTCTGTCTGTCTCAAAGGATCTGCACTTTCAAAAAGCCAATTGAGTATGGGCTGAAAACGTGGGGCTGAAGATCTGCTCTTTTCCCCCCCCTTAAATAGTTTATTTTAGATGTTGCAGTAAAAACTCTTTTCACTTACTCCATGAAATTTTCCAAAATCTACGCTTTTCCATTTGCACTAACGCACACACAAGCTTCTTGTCCTGTCCTCAACCGAGAATCAAATCACCACAGCCCAGTAAAGGAAAAGTTGCTGCTTTTCTCTCTCCCTCTTGCTGCTGCTGTTGCGTTAGACTCACTTACGAAATGAACATGCTGACAGTCCGGTTACTTCCACACAGACAAGAGGAGATTAAAGAGAGAGAGAGAGAAGGCCGTACACTTTTCATTTGGGAAAATCTACCCGCTTCCCAGGATATACTCAGTTTGTATTGCTGCCTTCAGAACACATCGACCCTGCCGCTTCAACCAACACACACTCGCACAAAAGACAAGACAATCTGGAGATTAGAACGTCCTTTTTTCCCCTGTACTAAAATCCCACCCCCAACCAACACCCACCGATGAAATTTACCAGTTTGTTAGTTTCACGGCAGGAACGTTACTCCGAGCTGTCTGTCAGTTTCATTCATAAAGCTGCAAGAAAAGGCACCGTCTTTCCCTAAGCAAAGGGTTTAATTTTGTTTAGGGCGGAGCGGCAGCCCTTCTTGTATACTGGTTTTGGGGGGGCGAGTTAAATAATAACGAAATAATGCCCCCCCATTGAATTCGGTTACTGGGGACTGATTTCTTTTTGGAACTTGGAGAATCAAATCGTTTGATGGATTTGAGTTTAGTTTTGCAGAAGCAGCGGGTTTCTGCCAGGGGTTGTGATTATTTTTTTTTTAAAGGGGGGTGGGAATCGTTGCAAGAAAAGATCGATCTCGCTCTTTGGAGGGCAGGCGGTAAAAGCATCAAATTTTCGCTGAGTGCGTTTCTCTTTTATTTTTTTGGAGAGAAAAAAAAAAGTCTCTACGGTTGCTTTGCCCTTTATAGAGAGAGAGAGCGCGCTCCCCTTGGCTGTGAATGGGTGCCTTCAGTTAGTTTTATGAAAAGGGTCTCTTTCCCTGCAAAGGTAGAGTAGGGCTTCCTGTGTGTGTGAGAGAGAGAGAGCCATAATCCTGCTCTTGATGCAAACTCTTCCTCTCTGCTCCCCCTCTATGCCAGTCTGAGTAGATCTCAGGGAATGTGTGTGGTTTTGGAGCAAAGAGGCAGGTATACGAACCAGCATGGGCAGGACCCCATTGGCTGGTGGCGGCCGCCATGTGACCACCCGACCGGGCTAGCTGTCCACACCTCCCACCCCACCCCCCTTCAGCAGCCAGCCCTCCCCGTTAGCCTCAACTCATGCCGCAGGAGGGGGGTTCTCTGCTGCCCGAGGTTTCCTTCGGGGGCTGCATAGGAACCACATGGCCCCGCAGATAAAATGCATAGGATTTGCATCCTTAGGGGGCGGAATGGGGGGGGGGGGGCTTGGCATGGCTGGAGGCACCCTCAGCGCAGAAACAGATCTTCTAGGGTAATATCCCCCGCCCCTTCCGCCCCTGGGAGCGTAGTGAGATTTTGCAAAATTTGGAGGCGAGCACAGGGGTGGGCGGGGATGGAGGGTGGATTTGAAAGCCGGCTCCTTTGAAAGGGGCAGCAGGATATTTTTAAGTGGGTTGCTTTTTATTATTATTCTTATTTCCCCACTTCTGAACTTTGTGCCTGGGGAGGGAAGGGGGCTATTGACCTGGCCGAGAATCGGGTGGCTGTTTAAAGGGGGCTTAGGAAGAGAGGGATCCGCCCTCCCCCCACATGGTCGTTTGCAAGCTGCTGGAAATGTAAAAAAGCCCACCTGGCCAGCGCCCACTTTCTGTCCCCCCCCCCCCGACGGAACGAAAGCGGCGGCTCCTTGCCCAGAGCTTTCCAACAGCTCCCAGCCTTGCAGCTCTGCGCCTGGGTCTTTTTACTCACTTCAGCTATGCAGGGAAACAACAAACACAGGGCATCAGCCAGCGGTTTGTTTACCTAGGGCCTCTCTGTGCTAGTGCAGTACTTCCCCCGGGGGTGGGGTAGGGGGTTTAACTATGAAAGAGAGAGCCCACTGACTGGCCAGAGCTGCCCATACCCCTTGGGCCCGCTAGGAAGCGCTTCAGGGCTGTGATGGGAGGGCCGCTCCAGTCTACTTGATGGTTTACACTTTTCTCCAGGCTCTGTACATTTGCAAAAGTCCTGCTACTACTGGGTCATTTGCCTCCCCCAGCATTGCATTCCCAGGGTCTGCTTTGCTGCTGCGCACGGCCTGGCCCTGGGTGTGGATGTCCTCCCAGTACACTTCCCTGGCCAGGGATTCTCCATGGTGGTGATTGTGGATCATTTGGTAAGGGCCCCTGGTGAGGCGGGCTCTTAGGAAACCAAACAAGTAAAAAGAACAGGAGGACTTGTGGCACCTTAGAGACTAACAAATTTATTTGAGCATAAGCTACAGCCCACTTCTTCGGATGCACAGAATGGAACATATATTGAGGATATATATATACACACACATACAGAGAGCATGAACAGGTGGGAGTTGTCTTACCAACTCTGAGAGGCCAATTAAGTAAGAGAAAAAAAAAACGTTTGTAGTGATTATTAAGCTAGCCCAGTACAGACAGTTTGATAAGAAGTGTGAGAATACTTACAAGGGGAGATAGATTCAATGTTTGTAATGGCTCAGCCATTCCCAGTCTTTATTCAATCCTTTGCTGATTGTGTCTAGTTTGCATATCAATTCCAGCTCAGCAGTCTCTCGTTGGAGTCTGTTTTTGAAGCTTTTCTGTTGCAAAATTGCCACCCGCAGGTCTGTCATTGAATGGCCAGACAGGTTCAAGTGTTCTCCCACTGGTTTTTGAATGTTATGATTCCTGATGTCAGGAATTCTTTTGCGTAGAGTCTGTCCGGTTTGGCCAATGTACATGGCAGAGGGGCATTGCTGGCACATGATGGCATATATCACATTGGTAGATGTGCAGGTGAACGAGCCCCTGATGGTATGGCTGATGTGATTAGGTCCTATGATGATGTCACTTGAATAGATATGTGGACAGAGTTGGCAGCGGGTTTTGTTGCAAGGATAGGTTCCTGGGTCAGTGTTTTGTTCAGTGATGTGTGGTTGCTGGTGAGTATTTGCTTCAGGTTGGGGGGGTTGTCTGTAAGCGAGGACAGGTCCATCGAGGACACACCACACGATTCATTGTCTACAGCCAAGCTCTAAGATACAACCTCATTTGCTCCAATCCCTCAGACAGAGACAAGCACCTACAAGATCTCTATCAAGCATTCTTAAAACTACAATACCCACCTGCTGAAGTGAAAAAAACAGATTGACAGAGCCAGACGAGTAGACCCAGAAGTCACCTCCTACAAGACAGGCCCAACAAAGAAAATAACAGAACACCACTAGCTGTTACCTTCAGCCCCCAACTAAAACCTCTCCAGCGCATCATCAAAGATCTACAACCTATCCTGAAAGATGATCCCTCACTCTCACAGATCTTGGGAGACAGACTTGGTCTTTTTGTGGTTACAGACGGCTGCTACTCTCAAACAAGTAAAGACCCTCCCAGTCCGACACTGGCAGGAAGGGGCCATAGGTCTGGAAGGCAGGGATCCTCAAAGGCGCTGAACTTCCAAATGGCCCGAGGTGCCTGTCTCCCTTGGAGGATCTGGCCTAGGCTTTATGGGGCCAGGACTATCTTTTCATTGTGTGTGTGTGCAGCCCAAACCCAACGGAGCCCTGATCCCCGGACAGATAATAAGTTCATACACAGGGTCTAATACAAAGCCTACCCAAGTCAGGGAGAGGCTTTGGCTCAGGGCCGCAGGAGGGCTTTGCATCACGGTTGTCCTGCCCCCTGTCATTTGCTCCCGTGCAAAGTGCGTATGAAAGGCAGAGCGATCAGAATAGCCCAAGGCAACAGGGAAGTAGGTCCATTGGATTTGCCGGTTCAGATGCCTGGTGTGCACATGGGACCATCTGTCTTACTCACTCATACGGCCCCCATCCGGGCAGTGTCTGAGCATCTCACTGTCTTTGCCGTGTCATCACCATGCCGCTGTGAGGTACTGCAGGCCTATTAGCCCCATGTTACAGATGAGGAACAGTTCCACAAAAGTATTTAGGCTCCTAAATCCCTTTGAAATTCATGGGAGCCTAAGTACCTTTGAAGATCTGGGCCTAAGTGACTTCCCCCAGGTTGAACAGGAAGCTTCAGGCAGAGCAACAAAATAATTAAAAAAAAAAATGTAGATAGATATATCTCCTAGAACGGGAAGGGACCCTGAAAGGTCATCGAGTCCAGCACCCTGCCTTCACTAGCAGGACCAAGTACTGATTTTGCCCCCAATCCCTAAGTGGCCCCCTCAAGGATTGAGCTCACAACCCTGGGTTTAGCAGGCCCATGCTCAACCACTGAGCTATCCCTCCCTGGATTGCTGTAGTCTCCAGCCAACACCCTAACTCCAGGACCAACCTTCCTGTCCTGTGCCTGGGCATTTGTGGGCCCAACTCAACAGTATGTGCTGGGGTGACTGTGTCTGTCAGCGTGTGAGGTTCTGATTCGCTCCACTGAGGGGATTTACCCCGCTGGTGTAAATGGAGAAACAATCGGGCTCTGGGTGTGTTTGTATCTGTATGTGCACCACGAAGGAAGGTGCTGCAAGACGAAAAGCAATCCTTGCCATATTATCGTTCTGAACAGACCTCTGGGATTTGGACTAAGTGCAGAATTTCTTTGGCATTTAAGCATAAAAACCCACCCAAACAGGACCAGTTCCAGGGGTTTTGCCGCCCCAAGTGGCGGGGGGGGGGGGAAAAAAGCCGCGATCGCAATTGCGATCGGCGGCACTCCGGTGGCAGCTCCACCGCGCCGCTTTCTTCTTCAGCAGGAATTCGGCGGCAGGTGCTTCCCTCCGAGAGGGACCCGCCGCCGAATTGCCGCCGAAGAGCCCGACGTGCCGCCCCTTCCCCTTGGCCGCCCCAAGTACCTGCTTGATGCGCTGGTGCCTGGAGCCGGCCCTGCACCCAAACAAACAACCGGAATAAAGGGGAAGATCCTCAGTTGGTGTCAATTGCTGCCATCAATGGAGTGATGCCAATTTACAGCAGCTAAGGATGTGGCCCAAATAAGTCTCGCATCAATAGGCCTCCTGATCCGCTTCCCTATTCTTGGTCCGACATTCACACAAGCTTTGGAAAATAGAACAATCTCTCGTCCTCCAGTTTCTTCCTCGCACTTGGATGGTGGTTTCTTTTTTCACAGAAGTGAAGGCTCCATCTTAGAAAAAGTTCCTTCTGCCGTTCCTCTGCCCGGCTTCACTGTGATGGCATTTGGATTGTACCTACCTCTCCCATGCATGCTGCTTAATGCAGCCCCAGGCTTTATTGATCTGCGGGGGGGGGGAATCACGGCTAGTAGCCACCGGCCTGCTATAAACAAGCGTGTCAATTGCATTGTAAACCAGAAGTGTCGCAAGACTTATTCCCAGAAACA